TCCCACTTCCCGCCCCCCCAGTGCTGCCCCCCAGCCCCGGAGCGGGCGAGGGGCTGGAGGCATGGGAAGGAGTTGGGTACCTTTGCTGTGCTGGTACTCGGCGCTCCCCGTGGCGCAGTCCGGGGTGCAGCTCACCTCGATTTCCTCATAGAAATCCGACTCGGTGTCCGAGCTGCTCTGCTGCCCTTTGCTGGAGGGGGGCTCCAGGGCGGGGGGCTGCTGTCCGGCCGAAAGCAGTGCTGCCGCCGCCGAGCGGCTCTCCGGCACCGTCCCTGTCCCCGGCAGCACCTCCACCTCCTCTTCGTCTTCTCCTCCGCCACCTCCTCCTCCTCTCTCCCGGGACGACAAGGGGCCAGGTCTGGGGCTGAGGCAGTTGCGATGGATCATCTTCTCCTGCGGCTCCGGAGCGGGGCTCCCCACTGCTTCGGGCAAATTAGGCACCCTCTTGCCAACTAGAGCGCCAAGTTGTGTCCCTTCCAGAAACATCACCATCTCCTTCCTGGTTTCCATTGTGGCTTTGCTTAAGGGAGGGGGGAAAAAAAATCCAGATATCTTCCCCCCCTCCCTCCCGCTCCCGCCCCAGCCTTGTACAAACCCAGCAACCCTCTCCTGCCAATGCAGAGGAGCAAGCGGTGAGATAGGGTGACCTTGTGATGCGAGCGCTACACTCTGCTGTGCTGCTCTGGGAGGGATCACCATTGCCCTCTTCTTTCTAAGCTGTCATCCTCAATGGTGCAGTCGTCATTACAGTACCACCGGTGACGCCACACATTGATTGCCAGTGGATAAATAGAAACGTCTGCCATGGGGAAGATGAAAGGAAGAGCCGGAGCTAATGGGCTAAATGCGTGATGCACCAGGTGTAGGAGCCCGAGATGGAGAGGGAAGTGTGAAAAAGAGATGCATATGGAGCTGAGCTGCAAAGAGGTTGTAACATGCGGAGAGAGTTCCGCAGGGGGAAGCCTGGCTTGACAATTAAATAGCCTTTTGACTGCTTTAAGCCACAACCTTGATGTAGATTTGAGGCGAAGATCCCTAGCCGCATCCTGGAAGTGAGAAGATACGTACTCAAGCCTCTTCCTCGGATGCATTATTTATTGCTGGCAATCAGCTTCCGCATAACTGCATATATAAGACTTTAAGAATCCTTTGCAAACTTGAGGATAAGGAAATGCGCTGCTGACATTTGAATGTACAAATAGCTTTGACTTCTTGTTCTGGTTCAACATCGGTTCCTATTCGTATAACTGTTATTGCTTTTTATTGTCTGAGATTAAAACGTTAGTTTCAAATTTGGAAATGCGGTTACATATTTATTGCATTTTACAGCTGAAAAGATACAACCATGTCACTTTTCGTAACTGTGGTTATTTTGACTATCTGCTGTTTATCGTTTACTCTTATTTCTTCCTTCGCAGTTTCCATTTGTTCCACGATTCTTGCGCTTTTAAGGGGGTTTTACGTCTCCTCCCATTTCTTGTTTTTTAACTAATTGTTTTGCATAAATTATTATCTGCTTTCAGGAGGAAAAACTGCACGAAGAAGGTCTGCCAAGAATAATTCAGGCTCAGAAAATGCAAGTTATCAAGGCCAGAGCTTATGCTAGCTAGCAGATGTTGTTAAAACAGAAATGACAAGGGCAACCATTTGGACAGCACTTGTCTGCAAATAAGGGACCTTCTACCGTAAATACAGAGGCACACGTTGTCTCTTTGGCGTATTATGATATTTGTAATGAGCGCGGCAAGTATCTCATCTCTAGTTAATATTGACTCGCACGTGTAGTGTCAAGTCATTTTCACCATCTGTCGTAACTAGGTTGTTCTTAATTTTTTTCTCGGAGCGTTATTGGCTAGTCAGGTTACAGAAAACATTCAACCAATTACGTTCCCAACCCGGTGAGGAATTTACTGGCATATTTGAGGTGACGTTGCTTCGGTGGGGAACAGGCAGCGCAATAGGAAACACGCTGGGATTTTCTGTCTAACCCTGTGAGCAAGACGGGCACGATGCAGGGAGACAAACAAACAAACAAACAAACTAGTAAATAGGATTCCCGGTCAGCTGGATGCATGGGTTAAGATATGTTCCCAGCAATAAGCATACTGATTTCAGGGGGATAACCCAGGAATTTTTACAGGGCTGTCGCCACCAATCTCTGTTTCTCCCTGTGTAGACACGCACGCACGTTTCCACGCACACACACATCATGTGCACACCACGCTCCGGACTGCGCTGCTTTTCATCAGACGTGTGATGCGTGCACCGGTCCGAAGCTTGCCAATTTCTTGAAAACTCATTGCTAAATTCCTTTTCCTTTCCCTCCCTTGCCAGCCTCTAGACCGCTGTGTGCCCTTACAGCTCCGAATGAGGACCCGCCGCCCACCTCTGCTCCGCGGGCTGTGCGAGCGCGGAGCCGGGGGAGCGGCTACTGGAGGAGCAGGCGGTGGGTGGGTGACTGGATGGAAGGACGGATGGATGGAAGGATGGATGGATGGAAGGATGGATGGATGGAAGGATGGATGGATGGAAGGATGGATGGATGGAAGGATGGATGGATGGAAGGATGGATGGATGGAAGGATGGATGGATGGAAGGATGGATGGATGGAAGGATGGAAGGATGGGTGGATAAGGCAGTCCGACTCTGCTGCCTGCCCGGCGGCCGCGGCGCGCCTGCTCCCGCTGGGCGGAGGCGGAGGGTCAGAGCTGATGCCGCTGCGCGGAGCAGCGCGGAGCTGTGCGGTGGGGCCAGGCAAGGCGAGGAGGGGGATCTCGGACGGCGCTATGCCCGTGTCGCGCTGGTGCCGCTTCCCACGGCTGGCGGCATCGTCGCTGCGCTTTGCTGAGGGGCCGATTTCCCTGGCACCTCGGAGGGGGATGGGGGGGGGATGGGGATGAAGGCTCGGCCTCCCCCGAGGCCCAGGACAGAGCAGCCTCACGGGGAAACTAACCTCCAGCCCCCTTCCTAGCTCGGCCAGGTAGCCGTGTCGGAGGAGGCTGGCTGTTGTCTGTTGCGTACGGAGAGGATTTCCCCATTACTACGAGTTTGGGGGCAGCAAAGAAGAGAGGTCTTTCTAAATAAAACGGTAATCGGGAGCTGAATTCAGAACACGCGGGAGCGCTCCCTGAGAGGGCGTTGAAGACGACTGCGGGGAAGTTAATGGGAAATCCTGCCTCTGGCAGATTGGAAACCTGCGGATGGTTCCCGTGGATCATGCTGGCAGATCCCCACAAATTTTGTCATTTTCGTTTACGAGCCGCTGCTGCCTCCTTCCTCACCCCATTCTTAATCCGTTCCTGCCAGGATGCCACTCGTCATGTACGTCGGGTGGGAGGTTTTGTTGAGCCCGAGATGATGGTCATTGCCACGGACGGTGTGTCTCAGCCCGCAGCAGCACAGGCTGCGGAACACCCACGCACGGACAGACGCCCCCCCACACACACACGCACACACATGCAGTTATTTGCCAAGGGTAAACACAGAGAGTTAAAGGCCCGAGTGGAGTCTAAGGGGGGAAAAAAAGAAAATAAAAACAAAAAAAAAAACCAAAATCCCAAAACAACACAGAAAGACTCTGATGAACTCGAAGTTTGGGGGTCGATTTAATTAGATTAGTAAAGGCTTCTTAAAATGTCTATTTTTACGTCCCCCAGGAAAATCACAGCGGCTACAGCCCCTCTGCACGCCGTCGCTCTGCCTTCTGTCTAGTGTTTCCCACAGATCTGTCAAGCCCGATTTGGAAGGAGACTCCCTCATTTGGGATTAATTTCCAGGCAGATTGGAAAGTGTATCTCTACGGGGTTTTCTTTTTCTTTTTTTTTTCTCTTTTTTTTTTTTTTTTTTTTTTTTTCTTTTTCCCCCTGCCTGTTCCAGACCGAGATTTAAAACCTATTAAGTCTCTCTCGCTCGCTTGGTCACAGCCAGGATGTCATAACTATCCTCAAAACTTTTCAAACTGATTTATTTCTCCGAGTTTACAGCTTTCCTTGCTGATATACGGCCGAGACGAGACCAAGGGCGTCCGCGTTCAAAAGGGTAATACACCGATTTCAGTGTCACCGCTGCTGAAAGGTGCCCCGTATACAAAAAGCAAACGAAACACCCTCCCTTGCCAAAACAAGGAAATAATAGGGGGACATTAAAACATTGCTAGGGTCATATGGTCGTAAATCAGGCGTTTCCCCTGAATGTGCTAAGCCTGGAGAAGGAAAGACACATCACACACTTCTTACCCGCAGGATATTTATTTTCCTTCGCCGGTCAACAGGGTGTCAATAACTTTTGACCGATACTGTCCAATTACGACTGTGAACCCCCGATGCTCCTTCAGTTTTTCTAAAACCCCCAAGTCTTGTCGTCGTTAAAAAAAAGAAGAAAGTTTTGACATATCGCGGAACGATTTAGTGCCGCAAAAGCTGATATGCAGTATAAATGGGTGTCCAAACCAGAAAGCCTATTTTTAAATTTTTAATGGGTAGTGTTTACAATAATGGCGTAATTATCACTGTTTTATTAAGGCTATTTTTTACGACATGGTTAGAGGTGGAAGCTTTGGAGAGAAGAGAATAATAGGCGCATTATTCTGGGGTGTAAAGACAAGCTGGTACGATGACAGCACACAACACGTAAGTGGCGTTGAGGTGAGAGAGGACAGAGCTGTGAGTGGGATGTGCCTAGGAGAGCATGTAATGGTATTTACAGGATCCCATCCAGGACACGTTTCTGCCTCCGCGTAGCTCCGAATGTCGGATCCTGACATCTCTACGGAAGGCATCTGCCTGTTCTTGATTCTTTTTTTTTTTTTTTTTTTTTTCCCTTTTGGCTGCCCGAGAAAGGCCTTTTCTC